TGCATGTATGTTAGGTCCCCCGTCTATAAAAAATCGCCTCATGTATGCTAAGAAACCCGTCTTACCAATACTCGCCTGCATGTATGCTAAGTACCCCGTCTATACCAATACTCGCCTGCATGTATGCTAAGTACCCCGTCTATACCAACACTCGCCTGCATGTATGCTAAGTACCCCGTCTATACCAATACTCGCCTGCATGTATGCTAAGTACCCCGTTATACCAATACTCGCCTGCATGTATGCTAAAGTCCCCCGTCTATACCAATACTGGGCCTGCATGTATGCTAAGTACCCCGTCTATACCAATACTCGCCTGCATGTATGCTAAGTACCCCGTCTATACCAACACTCGCCTGCATGTATGCTAAATACCCCATCTATACCAATACTCTCCTGCATGTATGCTAAGTACCCCGTCTATACCAACACTCGTCTGCATGTATGTTTGGTACCCCGTCTATACCAACACTCGCCTGCATGTATGCTAAGTACCCCGTCTATACCAAACCCACTCGCCTCATGTATGCTAAATACCCCATCTATACCAATACTCTCCTGCATGTATGCTAAGTACCCCGTCTATACCAACACTCGTCTGCATGTATGTTTGGTACCCCGTCTATACCAACACTCGCCTGCATGTATGCTAAGTACCCCGTCTATACAAATACTCTCCTGCATGTATGTTAGGTGCCCCGTCTATACCAACACTCGTCTGCATGTATGTTTGGTACCCCGTCTATACCAACACTCGCCTGCATGTATGCTAAGTACCCCGTCTATACCAATACTCGCCTGCATGCATGTTAGGTACCCCGTCTATACCAATACTCGCCTTCATGTATATAGGTACCCCGTCTAAACCAACACTCGCCTGCATGTATGCTAAGTACCCCGTCTATACCAATATTCTCCTGCATGTATGTTAGGTACCCCGTCTATACCAATACTCGTCTGCATGTATGTTTGGTACCCCGTCTATACCAACACTCGCCTGCATGTATGCTAAGTACCCCGTCTATACCAATATTCTCCTGCATGTATGCTAGGTACCCCGTCTATACCAATACTCGCCTGCACGTATGTTAGGTACCCCGTCTATACCAATACTCGACTGCATGTATGTTAGGTACCCCGTCTAAACCAACACTCGCCTGCATGCATGTTAGGTACCCCGTCTATACCAATACTCTCTTGCATGTATGCTAGGTACCCCGTCTATACCAATACTCGCCTGCATGTATGCTAGGTACCCGTCTAAACCAACATCGCCTGCATGTATGTTAGGTACCCCCCGTCTAACCAATACTCTCTTGCATGTATGCTAGGACCCGTCATACCAATACTCTCTTGCATGTATGCTAGGTCCCCGTCTAAACGAACACTCGCCTCCCATGTATGCTAAGAAACCTCGTCTATACCAATACTCTCTTGCATGTATGCTAGGTCCCCCGGGTTACCAATACTCCCGGCATGTATGTTAGGTACCCCGTCTATACCATATTACTCGACTGCATGTATTGTTAGGTACCCGTCTATACCAAACAATCGCATGCATGTATGCTAAGTACCCCCTGTACCAACACTCGCCTGCACGTATGCTAAGTCCCCGTTTTCCAATATCCGCCTGCATGTATGTTGGTACCCCGTTTTATCCAACACTCGCTTGCATGTATGCTAGGTACCCCGTCTATACCAACACTCGCTTGCATGTGTGTTAGTTACCCCGTCTATATCAATACTCGCCTGCATGTATGCTAGGTACCCGTCTATACCAACACTCGCCTGCATGTTTGCTAGGTACCCCGTCTATACCAATACCGCCTGCACGTATGTTAGGTCCCCAGTCTATACCAACACTGCCTGCGTGTATGCTAGGTCCCCCGTCTATACCAACACCGCCTGCGTGTATGTTAGGTCCCCCGTCTATACCAACACTCCCCTGCATGTATGTAGGTACCCCGTCTATACCAATACTCGCCTGCATGTATGCTAGGTACCCCGTCTATACCAACACTCGCCTGCGTGTATGCTAGGAACCCCGTCTATACCAACACTCGCCTGCGTTTATGTTAGATACCCCGTCTATACCAACACTCGCCTGCGTGTATGCTAGGTACCCAGTCTATACCAACACTCGCCTGCGTGTATGTTAGGTACCCCGTCTATACCAACACTCGCCTGCGTGTATGCTTGGTACCCCGTCTATACCAACACTCGCTTGCGTGTGTGCTAGGTACCCCGTCCATACAAACACTCGCCTGCGTGTATGTTAGGTACCCCGTCTATACCAACACTCGCCTGCGTGTATGCTAGGTACCCCGTCTATACCAACACTCGCCTGCGTGTATGTTAGGTACCCCGTCTATACCAATACTCGCCTGCATGTATGCTAGGTACCCCGTCTATACCAACATTCGCCTGCGTGTATGCTAGGTACCCCGTCTATACCAACACTCGCCTGCGTGTATGTTAGATACCCCGTCTATACCAACACTCGCCTGCGTGTATGCTAGGTTCCTCGTCTATACCAACACTCGCCTGCGTGTATGTTAGGTACCCCGTCTATACCAACACTCGCCTGCGTGTATGCTAGGTACCCCGTCTATACCAACACTCGCCTGCGTGTATGCTAGGTACCCCGTCTATACCAACACTCGCCTGGGTGTATGTTAGGTACCCCGTCTATACCAACACTCGCCTGCGTGTATGTTAGGTACCCCGTCTATACCAATATTCGCCTGCATGTGTGTTAGTTACCCCGTCTATACCAATACTCGCCTGCATGTGTGTTAGTTACCCCGTCTATACCAATACTCGCCTGCATGTGTGTTAGTTACCCCGTCTATACCAATACTCGCCTGCATGTGTGTTAGTTACCCCGTCTATACCAATACTCGCCTGCATGTATGCTAGGTACCCCGTCTATTCCAATACTCGCCTGCATGTGTGTTAGTTACCCCGTCTATACCAATACTCGCCTGCATGTATGCTAGGTACCCCGTCTATACCAATACTCGCCTGCATGTATGCTAGGTACCCCCTCTATACCAACACTCGCCTGCATGTATGCTAGGTACCCCATCTATACCAATACTCGCCTGCATGTATATTAAGTACCCCGTCTATACCAGTACTCGCCTGCAAGTATGTTAGGTACCCCGTCTATTCCAATACTCGCCTGCATGTATGTTAGGTACCCCGTCATTACGAATACTCGCCTGTATGTATGCTAAGTACCCCGTCTATACCAAAAATCGCATGCAAGTATGCTAAATACCCCGTCTATACCAATACTCGCCTGCATATATGCTAAGTACCCCGTCTATACCAACATTCGCCTGCACGTATGCTAAGTACCCCGTCTATACCAACATTCGCCTGCATGTATGCTAAGTACCCCGTCTATACCAATACTCGCCTGCATGTATGTTAGGTACCCCGTCTATACCAACACTCGCCTGCAAGTTGCTAATTCCCCGTTAT